TTTTTTTTTTTGAGAGAAATTTGAATAGGGGGCACTTACCCGTTCAATTTGTGGGAATATACTAAAAGAAACCGGCACCATCAGTCCCATTACTAAGACAGTACAAGACAGCTTGAAGGTCCATAATGACCATGGATATTGCCGGAAAAACTGGGTCCTGTAAGAGACAAGGTTACCAGGCATTTTTAGAGGCTGGCCCTCGGCTCGGACGGTCTGGCGTGCAGCTGCAGGCCCACGCCCTGGTTCCCCTCACCCACAAACACGAGATACCAGCAGCCTGTGCATCAGGCCCGCGGTTAAGCACTTGGCGGGCACTGCCCATTTGATCCCCCACAACCCTTTGAGGTTTGTGCTATCATCACCCCCTTCACACAAACGAGGACACAGCCACTGACTGGTTAAGTCCAAAATCCCATGGCTCAAGAGTGAGAGGCCAGGTTCTAGATGCTGGGCTCCGCTGACACGATGGGACATTCTGCCCCTGACCTCTGAGGGCGTGAGAGACCGCGCGGGAAGATGCGAAGAACCCCAGCCTGGGAGTCAGAGACCCAGGGTCCCGGGTCCGGCTGGGGTCTGCACCGATAGACCAGGTGTCTCGGGCGAGTCCCTTCCCCGTCCTGAGCCTTGGGTTTCTTCACACGCAGGATGCAAGGGCTGAGTCAGAAGAGCCCCCGAGGTCACTCCAGCATGGACACTGTTGTGGCTGTGGGGGCCACTGGGAAACGAGCGCCATCTCTCCACCCCAGGTAGCCGGTGCCTTGATGTGGGCTCTAAGGGACAGACTGGAGGACCCCAGCTTCCAAAGGCGCCCCAGCTCTGACCCAGCCAGAGTGGTCCAGGAAGAGCCTGGGCCAGCAGAGGTCTCCACCCCCATCCAACCGGTGGACCACGGGAAGTAACACTTGGCTCTAAACAGCATGCTGCTATTTCTTGAAAATGCAATCCTTACGGGGTCCTAACAAAGCCTTCCTAGCTCGCCATGCTGGACGGAGGGATTGGTTCAGGTGACCCCATCTGGGCCAACGGAATCCTTCCCTGGGAGTCTGGGAACTGAGTGGAAGACATTCTCTGCCTTCGCTGGGGTTTGCTGTGTTTTTCATCCCTCCCCAGGACGCCTGGAGGATATAAGCTGGGAGGTGTTGGCAGTCATGTCCCTCAGCAACACGAAGAGGCCAGAGTGTGGCAGGACAGAGGAAGCTGACACCATGAAGACGAGGAGGAGTAGAGCTTCTGCTCGGCGACCACAGCCTACGTGGGCCCCCTGCCCACAGCCAGGATCTAAACCAACACATCTGCCTTCTGGCCTAAGCCACTGCGTGTTGGGTTTCTCACACCAGCTGGTCCCCAGGCCTTCCTGCTAATTGGCCACTTCTTGCTTCTCAAAAGGGATGATGGTCCACTAAATCTGGGCCACTTAGGCTAACTTAACACACGCTTGCCATGAAGGGGGAAGACCGGCCGGAGCAATCCTCACAGCACATCGGAGCTGGGAGAACCTGCAAATCACCTCAGCTCGGCATTCAAGACCCAAGGGGCCGTGCCCGGGGACACGGAGCCAGCTGAGGACGGGGCCTGGGTGAGAGACCGGGGCTGAAGAACGTGCACCTCTGGATTTCCACGCCTGCCCCAAATCAATCCTACTGTCTAAGCTCCACACGGAGAGAGTTTAGCGGGAAGGCAACTGAACAAACTTCTTCCTATCCCTCCCACCAGGTTCAGTGTTTGACAAGTTTTGTAAGGATTTTGAGTGTCAAATGTTCGTTCCTACCTGGGGAGATGAGCGTGCATCTTACCTTACAAAAAAGTGCGAGAAGACTTCAGGGATGAAAGCTGAGGTCCCGAACAGCACTACTCTGGATGTTGCTGTATCTTTAACGGCCTAGCGGAATTGGAAGGGAAGCATCTTAGCACATGGAGTGGGACCGTTTCCAGGGATCCTGCCACTCAAGACAGAGATGAGCAAACAGCAGCTCTCCTCTCTCACTTAGAAAAATACTGCGCGTGGAGAGGTGGAGACAGCCCCTCCGGGCACAGAGCTGGAGGACGGCTGGGCTTGGTGCCGGGATTTACCTCCCGCGGACTCCACCGTGGTCTCCCCATCGGTCTGCCAACCACCCCGTCACTAAGTACAAGCAAAGGCAGCTTACAGAAAACTCGTCCCCTCGGGGGGAATGCTGGATTTGCCACCGAGGACTGCTGCGTGTTTTCCTTTCAGTCCAGGAATCGGACACTGGCCTCCCGATCCCGAGCAGCTCCCCAGTTACGCTCACCCCTTCGAGGGGAGGAACCCTCCAGAAGTCCAGCTCAGAGGGCATCAGTGTGGCATCACACCCACACGGACCATGCACCTGTATGCACCCTCCTTTCGCTTGTGTCACTAAGTGTGTTATAAAATCTTACTTCGCACAAACATGCGTAGCTTGCAACGTTTTGTCATCTGTCCTATAATACACACTACTCTACATATGGAGCATTTAAACATGTCATTGACCATATGGGTTATGTGCACAAGGTCACACGTACTCAAGGGCAATATGTAAGAGAGGCTCTCAAGGGAAATCCTGACCACAGGTGACACTCGCATGTTAACTTCCGAAACCAACTCCTGGGTAAGTCACAACTCTCCATACAGCACTGCTGTGCACGACATGAACAGGCACACACACACTCGACCATCCCCTTCCAACCCTCTTTTCCACTTCTGGCTTCCTAGGACGGGGTTACAGCCTGCCTTCTGGGCTCCTCGCCCCAGCTCGGCAGCCTGCTCTCTGCTTCGTACACTGACGCTCAGCTCATCCGATTCCTCTGCAGGGAAAGTCTTTCCCCATGGGGACAGAGGGGCCAACGGGGGTAGCTCTTAAAAAATACACTTTCAGGGGGCGCCTGGGTGGCTCAGTCGGTGAAGCGTCTGCCTTTGACTTCATGATCTCCGGGTCCTGGGATCGAGCCCCACATCCGGCTCCCTGCTCAGCGGGAAGCCTGCTTCTCCCTCTCCCTCTGCGCACCCCCCCCACCCCGTCGTGTGGCTCTCTCCCGGGCGCTCGCTATCTCAAATAAATGAATAAAATCTTTAAAATAAATAAATAAACTTTCAGGAATATAAAATAAAATCGCTCCACTTCAGGAAGAGAGAAGTGGCTGCTGAGGGTGGTGTGATTCAGTGGGGCTGTCCGCCTGTGTGCGAACCGGCCACCCGTCCTGAGGGGCACCGGGCCCAGCCAAGGGCAAACAGTACAGATTGGCCCCCGCAATCTGATCAAAGGTGCCCTATTACAATCAGATATTGCTGGTTGCGTACTTTCTGAAATTTTAGCCAAAGACAATAGACCGTTTGGTGACAGGGAAATGATGAAAGAATGCTTATGCTTACGCACAGTTGCAGACTCTGTTCTTCAGAGGAAGATAAACTTAAAACAGAAAAAAAAAAAAAGCAGAGCATCAAATCTTTCTTTTACCCTAACTTGGCCTTCATGCAGAAAATGAAGTTCCTCCCGGAGAGGCGGACTAGATACCCAGACAGCTCACGGGGCCCGAGGCCGCCTCTCCTGGGAGGCTGAGCACTCGGGCCTCCCAGAGAGAAGTGAGCCTGCGGCTGAGGGCGTGGCCGAGCGGCTGAGGGCGTGGCCGAGCGGCTGAGGGCGTGGCCGAGCCGAGCCTAGCACAGCACCTGCTCAGGTGCCTCGTGCCGCGGGGCTACTCACCGATTAAACACCTGCTCTCACTCTTCTCTTCAGCTGTGTGCACGGTTCACAGCAGCCCTAACACCCTGCAGGTAAAGGGAGCTGCAGAGAAACGCAAACTGACGTCCACATAAAGACCTGTGCACGTCCAGAGCAGCATTATGCAGAACAGCCCCAGACTGGACACAGTCCAGATACCCCCAGCCTGGGGAAGGGATACGCAATGGGGTCGGTACATCCATACATGCAACGCTGCTCGGCAGGAAAAAGCAACAGACTGTTGGTAGGTACACAGTACAGCTGGATGAACCTCCAAAGTGAAAGGAGGCAGACACAAAAAACACTTGTACGAGTCACTTACATGAAATTTCTGGAAAGTCAAAACTGTGAACACATAAAGCAGCTCAGTGTTCTCTGGGGCCGGGGGTGGGCGAAGGGGGTGACTCAGTGGGCATGAGGGAAATTTTTAGGATGAATATGTTCTAAATTTGGACTGTGGTGAAAGCTGCGTAACTGCTTACATTTACTAAAATTCATCCAACTATACTCTCACAAAGGGCGAATTTTATAGTATGTAAATTCTCTCTCAATAAAAAGGTCTCATTAGGGTGGCTCTTGGGCACAAAACCTTTATTTCAAAAGTGAGCTATTTTCTTTTTGGCAGCTACTTCTCCCCTTGTTACCTGTAATCACTGTGTTTCTACTGTAATTCATTTAGGAAGGTGGCCACTATTTTCAGACATGCCACTGAACAAATGGTCTGGCAGGAATCTGGTGGCACACATGTGATAGTTTATAATCCAGCTTTGTGACTCGCAGACAGGGTTTAGTGGAATATGCTTTGTGAGCCGAACAATGATGTATTTCCTGACTGAACGAGCAGCCATCTTTTCTGACCTCCGGCCAACACAGGCTCGCATTTGGCGGAGGCCCATTGGCGGCGGTCAGTCACACGTGTCAACCTGGTTGGCGAGAGCAGCCAGGAATTTGATCAGACACGAACTGCCGTGATGCCACGTAGATGTGACTCACATCTACGATCAGTTAACTTCAAATAAGATTACCTTCCATAGTGTGAATGGGCCTCATTTAATCAGTTGGAAAACCCTGAGAGCAAAATCTAGAAGGTTTTCCCAAAGAAGAAATTCTGCCTGAAGACCACTGCGTGGGCTCCTGAGTTTCTAGCCTGCAGATGGGGCCAACACTTGACTAGCCTACGAGCCCTACAATTGCATGAGCCAATTACAATCAATCAATCAATCAATCAAT